CTCTCTCTCTCTCTGTCTCTCGGCTGGCCGAGCAGCAGCAGAGGGATTGGGAAGGGTGGCACAGAAGAGGGGACGAAGAGCAGCCGGGTTTTTTTTTGCCTCGCAGGGCTGCTGGGGGAGGGAAGGTGGTGGTTTTTGGCCAGAGAAGGGGACTGGGGCTGGGTGGGCTGGGGTGGTGGTGGGGTGGGGGGCGTCCTGCAAGATGTGGAAGATGCCGGCGCTTCTGGGTTTGGTGCAACCGCGCTCCTACTACTGCTCCTGCTGCCGCTGCTGCTGTTGGATTCTGCTGCTTTTGCCGCCGCCGTTTTGGGTCAGCCTGGCCGCGGCTAAGCAAGTGCTGAGATACCGCTTGGCCGAGGAAGGGCCGGCCGATATCCGGATCGGGAACGTGGCTTCGGACCTGGGCATCGTCACCGGCTCGGGCGAGGTGACGTTCAGCTTGGAATCCGGCTCGGAATATTTGAAAATCGACAACATGACGGGCGAGCTGAGCACCACGGAGCGGCGCATCGACCGCGAGAAGCTGCCGCAGTGTCAAATGATCTTCGACGAGAACGAGTGCTTCCTGGACTTCGAGGTGTCGGTCATCGGGCCCTCGCAGAGCTGGGTCGACCTCTTCGAAGGCCGGGTCGTCATCCTGGACATCAACGACAACACGCCGACTTTCCCTTCCCCGGTGCTGACCCTCACCGTCGAGGAGAACCGACCGGTGGGGACCCTCTACCTGCTCCCCACCGCCACCGACCGCGACTTCGGGCGCAACGGCATCGACCGCTACGAACTGCTGCAGGAGCCCGGCGGGGAGGCCGGCAGGCGCGGCGCGGGGGCCACGGTGGCAGCTGCCGCCGCCGCCGCCGCCACTTCCGACGGGGCCCTCTATCCCGGCGGCAAGAAGAGGCAGGAGACCGACGGCCCGGCTCGGAGCAGCGTCTTCGAGCTGCAGGTGGCCGACACCCCCGACGGCGAGAAGCAGCCCCAGCTGATCGTCAAAGGGGCTCTGGATCGCGAGCAGAGGGACTCCTACGAGCTGAGCCTGCGGGTGCGGGACGGCGGGGAGCCGGCGCGCTCCTCGCAGGCCATCCTCCGCGTGCTGATCACCGACGTGAACGACAACAGCCCCCGCTTCGAGAAGAGCGTCTACGAGGCGGATCTGGCCGAGAACAGCAGCCCGGGCACGCCGATCCTGCAGCTGCGGGCGGCCGATTCCGACGCCGGGGTGAACGGGCAGATCGAGTACGTCTTCGGGGCGGCCACCGAGTCGGTCCGGCGCCTGCTGCGCCTGGACGAGTCGTCGGGCTGGCTCAGCGTCCTGCACCGCATCGACCGCGAGGAGGTGAGCCAGCTGCGCTTCACCGTCATGGCCCGCGACCGCGGACAGCCGCCCAAGAACGACAAGGCCACGGTGGTGCTGACCATCCGCGACGAGAACGACAACGTGCCCACCATCGACATCCGTAAGATCGGGCGCATCCCGCTGCGCGACGGGGTGGCCAGCGTGGCCGAAGACGTGCTGGTGGACACCCCCATCGCCCTGGTGCAGGTCTCGGATCGCGACGAAGGGGAGAACGGCGTGGTGACCTGCACCGTGGTGGGCGACGTGCCCTTCCAGCTCAAGCCGGCCAGCGAGGGGGAGGGCGAGGCGCAGAACAAGCGCAAGTACTTCCTCCACACCTCGGCCCCGCTGGACTACGAGGCCTTGCGGGATTACAACGTGGTCATCGTGGCCGTCGACTCCGGCAGCCCCAGCCTCTCCAGCAACAACTCGCTGCTGGTCCGGGTGGCCGACACCAACGACAACCCGCCCGTCTTCAGCCAGCCCGTCTTGGAGGTGCCCTTTCCGGAGAACAACGCCCCGGGCGAGCGGGTGGCGACGGTGCTGGCTACCGACGCGGACAGCGGCAAGAACGCCGAGCTGGCTTACTCTCTGGAGCCCTCGCCTTTGGGGGCCGAGGCGCCCTCGGGCCTCTTCACCATCGACCCGGATTCGGGCGACTTGCGCGTCCAGGCGGTGCTGGATCGCGAGCAGCGAGACACTTACGAGTTCCAAGTCACGGCCCGGGACAAGGGGGTGCCTTCCTTGCAGGGCTCGGCCCTGGTGGTGGTGCGGGTGGCCGACCGCAACGACAACGAGCCCCGCTTCATGCAGGACGTTTTCACTTTCTACGTCAAGGAGAACCTGCAACCTAACAGCCCGGTGGGCATGGTGACGGTGATGGATGCCGACCAAGGGCGCAACGCTCAGCTCAGCTTGGCCATCCAGCCCGGGGCCGCGCAAGAAGCGGGTCAGGGCTCCGCCTCGGACCCGGGCATCTTCTCCATCGAGAACGACACGGGCACCATCTACTCCACCGTCTCTTTCGACCGGGAGTTGCAAACGAGCTACACCTTCCGCGTCAAGGCGGTGGACGGAGGGCAGCCGGCTCTCTCGGCCACGGCCACCGTCTCGCTCTTCGTCATGGACGAGAACGACAACGCGCCGGCCGTCACCTCGCCCGCCAACAGCTCCTACACCGTCCTGCCTCCATCCAGCAGCCCGCGCTCCGTGGTGGCGGCCGTGCAAGCCCGAGACGCCGACGCGGGCCAGAACGCCGAGCTGAGCTACAGCCTGGTGGGGGGCAACCCCTTCAAGCTCTTCGAGATCGACCCGGCCAGCGGGGTGGTCTCGCTGGTGGCCAAGCTGGCCCCCAAGCACTACGGCTTGCACCGCCTGGTGGTGCAGGTCAACGACAGCGGCCAGCCGGCTCAAGCCACCACGGCTCTCCTCCACGTCTTCGTCAACGAGAGCTTGGCCAACGCCAGCGCGGTGGAGAGCCAAGTGGCCCGGAGCTTGCACACCCCCCTGGGCCGGGACATCGCGGGCGACCCGAGCTACGAGCTGAGCAAGCAACGGCTGAGCATCGTGGTGGGCGTGGTGGCCGGCGTGATGGCCGTGGTGCTGCTGATCCTGGTGGTGGTCCTGGCTCGCTACTGCCGCTCCAAGGGCAAGCACGGCGGCTACGAGGCGGGCAAGAAGGACCAGGCGGACTTCTTCACCCCGCAGCCCCACGACAAGGCCCACAAGAAGCCCAAGAAGGACCGCAAGGGCAAGAAAGGCGGAGGGGGCAAGCAGCCCCTCTACAGCAGCATCGTCACCGTCGAGGCTTCCAAGCCCAACGGGCAGCGCTACGACAGCGTGCACGAGAAACTGTCGGCCGCCGGCAGCCCGGCTTTAAGCCGCTACCGCTCGGTCAACGGAGGGCCGGGCAGTCCGGATTTGGCCCGGCATTATAAATCCAGCTCGCCTTTGCCCACCGTCCAGCTTCACCCCCAGTCGCCCACCGCCGGGAAAAAACACCAGGCGGTGCAGGACCTGCCGCCGGCCAACACCTTCGTGGGGGCGGGGGACAACATCTCCATCGGGTCGGACCACTGCTCCGAGTACAGCTGTCAGGCCAGCAGCAAGTACAGCAAGCAGGTAAGAAGACCCTTTTCTCCTCCCCCCCCTCCCGATGTTTCCCAGGCTCAGCCCCAAACTCTGCAGGAAACCTGCCTCTCCCCCTCCCCCGCCCGCCTATTTCCCCCCC